AATAATCCCCAGCATAGCATTGGCCTTTTTTATTGCAGTCACACACTGTCTCGACATTTTCAGTGAGTTATCTACTACAACTCCATGATCTCTCTCTTGATCAGTCTCTGCCAGTTCAGACCCCATCAATGTGTATTTATATTTAGGATTTTTGGCTCCAATGTGCATCACCTTGCACTTGGCCACATTGAACCCCATTTGCCATGTTGACGCCCACTTGCCCATCCTTGACAGATCCCTTTGGAGTGCCTCACAATCCTCACTAGTTTTCACCACCCTGAACAACTTCGTATCATCCGCAAATTTAGCCACTTCACTGCTTACGTTTCTGAACAATCCCAAGTAGCCATTGTATCGATGGGCATCAGAGGGGGACCAGGCCAGGGTAACTGGGTCACTGCCAAGGGGCTGGGACATTTACAGTACAATCTTACATGGAGGTATACCAGTCTGTGCCCATTCAAATCAGTGTGCTTGGAATGGAGTAAGTCTGTAAAGGTTAAGGTTTCTCTTGCTCGAAAGCCAGTCAAATCTGACTCTAGGGATGTGGTGCTCATCTCCGTTTCCAATCCGAAGAGCCAGCGCTGTCCAGAGACATTTCTGTGGTCATGTGGCCGGCATGACTAGACACTGAGGTGCAAGGAATGCTGTTGCCTTCCCACCAAAGTGGTACCTATTTATCTACTTGCAATTTCTTGCTTTCGAACTGCTAGGTTGGCAGGAGCTGGAACCAGAGACGGGAGCTCACCATGTCCGCTGAACTACCGACCTTCCGGTCCGCAGTTCAGTGTCTTAACCACTTGAGCCACAGCAGTCCCACGGAGTAACTCTGTAACTCTGTAGGTTACACCAATAATTGTGTGATTTATGTAGATCAAACTTTTGATTTTAATTTTTTATTGATTGACTAACAAGTGCCCCAAATTAATTGGGCAGTAGATTGAATGAAGATAATTAATGCAATTAGTAAAAACTGAAATTGGCTTGTTTTGGGGGAGACAAATGAGACTATGTTTGTGGTGAAAATGACAAAAGTGACACATAAACATGTAGCTGAAAAGTAAATGAAGCATGTGGAGCTTTTTCCTTAGACCTCTTTTTCCCATCTGATATGCAAATGTATGCAGATTCATTTACCTGATTAGTACTCTAAAGCTCATAGAACTACGCTTTTTTAAATTGGGCTGTCATCTTGTTTCCTGTAGATGAAGGAAATGCCCTGTTTATATTCATGTTCAGGTTATTTTAGTGCTATAAATTTTATTCTGTTTTGGGTGCTGTTTACTCTATATGCCCCCCGCCCTTTCCAAAATCTATATCAAGGGAGTCCAAATTCTGCACCAAGGAGAAATTGATTTCTGTAGTTCTGTGTAAATGATGTAAACTGAAAACACCTTGCAATATTCTGCAGAATTGATCTGCTTTTACTAGTGATTGTGGCTGGGCAGTGAGCTATGTGGACTGGTTGGGCCATTGGCCTGATCCAGCAAGGCTTCTCTTGTGTGGGAGAAGCCTTGCTGGAAGCTTGTGGGAAGGCTTCTCTTGTGTGGGAGTTCTGCCTAGAATCGTTTTGCAAGCGATACTGTATTTTGTATTTTTTAAAAAATGAATTTGTAAGCCACCTTGAGATATGGGAAATGTAAGTATAAATATTTTAATACATTATTATCAGCACCCTCCCAAGCGCCCCTAATTTAGCATGACCCCGGGATGCTTCTTCCCCCCAAACCAATGAGTAACACGATATGTGACTGACTACCAAAGCTGTCTAAAATTTGTGTTGGAGGTTGCTGTGGATCCTGCCCCATTGTCCGTCTCTTCCATCCCTGCCACTTGCTGAACTTCCTCTGCCGCTTCCCTCACCAGGCTCTTTGAGATGGGCTTTGCCGAGCAGTTGCAGGAGATCCTCGCCCGGCTCCCAGAGAGCCGCCAGACAGTGTTGTTCTCTGCCACCCTGCCAAAACTTCTGGTGGAGTTTGCCAGAGCTGGTAAGTGGGCAGGCCTGGTGGGGTGGGGGTGGATACTGTGCTCATGTTGGCATCCTGGTGGCACTCCAAAGCACACAGGGTAGTACTTCGTGTTTTGCTCCCGCCGCACTACTCTGCTTTTATAGAGAGTCAGGATGTTGAACTGTTTGGCTGAGTGTGGCGTTCTCCACCCAGTATAGCAGTTGCCAGCAGAGAAATATCTTTCTCAGAACCTGCTTAACTGCAAGTGCTAGGGATTGGTTCTGGGTGGTTGTTGTTTTGCACAGAAAACAAGGTGCTCCAGCACTGAGGCACAGCCCCTCTTCTTGTGTCCTGTGTGGAAATTATGTCTAACCCAGGAAGGAGACAGCAGCAAGGACAGGAGGCCATGTGTGATGCAAAGCTTGTCCCTTTTGATGGGGTCTTAGGACTCACCCAGCTGTCATTTTTGTGCTCTTGGTTGGGAAATCTCCCTCTTTTTTTCTTCTTTCTACCTCAGAACAGCCTTCTTCCTCTGTGTGGGAAATCAGCCATGCACAAATCCTAGCAGCTGTGCAAGCAGAGGAGGGAGTACA